TTTCGTTACCATACCGAGTAACGATATTTGGGTTACAGTTACGAAGAGAGACTGATTATGTAAACATGTTGAATTAACGGCTAACATAATACGTCTTTGATACTTGAGCAGAATTCTGCTAGATCTGTTTATTTGGTGAATATATTTCAACTTTCTAGTTTTTGCGAATATGTTTGGTAAAAAATAATATTTTTAACTTCTTCTTGAGAACTGCCAGCTCAATTACATTGATACTTAATACGTAGATACTTTTGAAGGAGTTAAATCAGAATTGTCCATTTTGTGTTGGTATCATTAATTCTCTTTTTTAGTTAATATTTTTGGACTAATATTGAACTAATATTTCATAGTTTTCAGTTGTTTGATATATTCCATATTACATATGACAATGTAAACATGTTGCCTTGGATGGTTAGTTTTGTAAACTGATTTAGTATTCAGGTTATTTGGTACACGTCAAGTTATTTGATAGGGATTTGATTGTTTGTTTTTTTGAATCTATATTTTTAAATAATTTCATGAGAGAGAACTATTTTTGAATAGTCTCAAAGTATTTTATTTTTGTACTACCAACTTATGTATGCTATTTGGTGATTATACGAGACAGAAACAGCATGTTGTGTACAACCAGTCATATACAAATAAACACTAATTGTGATAAGTAAACTTACCACTTTTACTGTACATATCTGATATGAATGATAAGTGGCGTACTACCGAGTAAACTTCATGATGAGCATAGCCATGTGGTGTATGAGAAGGCACGAACAAGTTGACATAATTCCTTTTTGCTAGAGACTGATTTATGTTCTGTTTACTTCATGGACATTGTGGTTTAATGAGGCAATCAAAGATATGATGAAATCACGGGGATGAAATTTCGAATCGGTAGCTGACTCCAGTTATTGTTTGATTGTTCATACGTGACCATTCCTCCTCCCTTTATTTTAATTTATATCTAATTATAATAGTTTTCCAATCAGGTTTGGCAGAATACAGTGTGTTGTGATATAAAAGCTTTATGCTTCTTGATGTAAATTGAGTATTTGTAAACAAGCAAATTCCATTATTGGGAACGTGTAATTGAGTTATGAAACAAATCTGACACGTGGTATGTGATGCTTGCTAGAGTCAGAATATTGACTGTTAAAACAATTAATTCTGTAGATTAGTACTACAATAATGCAAAATTATGTCGCCTACTTACTATGTTCATAATCAGATAATATATTGTTTGACCTGTGATCATAAACTCCACACGCACATTAGGCATCGCTAATAAAAATTAGGGTGAGTGGGAATAAACTCTCTAAATATTTAATCCAAGGTCTGCCACAGATTGGTACGTCGCATTACAAAACTCTGTAAACTGGTGCCTAAGGCAACTCTTTTGGGTTACTTAGCTTCATCGCACTTGTGGAATTTATTATTATAATAGTTGTACTCTAATTGAATCCTATAAAAACAACTAATGATCCTGATTTTTAACTTGTATTCTAATTCCTGTTTCAGAAATGTTAACTAAAACAATATATACGATAACACTAAGATGCTGCTCTTAATACGTGTCAACAAACAAAGAGAAAAAATGTGACATTTCGCCGGTATTCGGAGTGTGTCAGTGTTACCTTTTGCAATGTCACAATTTGTTACCCTAATTTACGATGTAAAGTATTGTATTCTTTACAATTTAATCTCACGTTTTCAATCATTAGATTATCATCCTCCCCATACTATTTGGTGATTAATATGCGCAACCTTCATAATCCTTGTAAATGAGCCTGGTAACGTAAACTGGTTGCCCTATGTATGGTGTTTCCCAATGAAAAGTTGCGAAAGCGCCTTGGTCTATATTGTTTGATCTATGTGTCTCATAGTTCTCATCACAAAGTGTGGTTATTCTTCGCAGGCAGTGAATAGTTGAATAGCACTTTGAATAGTTCGCAAGCACTTTCTAACCCTTCGAAGAACCGATCAAACGTGGGACTACCTAGTACAATAGATCTATACTGAAATGTCTCTTAAGTGGAGGTTGGGTGCGTAGTTGAGCATGGGCGTTAAGTTGGATGAGAACGATATTAGGTGATACATTACAGCCCAAGCTAAATTTTCAAAATTCTCCCGAAGCTTAACTCATTTAACTCATTTAACTCCTTAGGTAGAGATGCAGGTTTGTGGGCACTTGGGAGTGAATTTTTTTTTTTTTTTTTGCTTTTTATTATCCAAACAGTCTTGGGTATAGATTGTTAACATTTTGTAGAATTGTAAATAGTGGAACATACTCAAAAGACTATTTTAAAATATAGATAACAGGTGCAAACATTCTCTCGTTTGAATGCTTTAGCAAGATTTAGCAAGGCTGTACATAAATAATAAAAAAGAAACATGGTGAAAAAGAAAAATGACGGGATCTCCAGAATATGCACTATATTTAACTTTTTACAAAATAATAATACATTTAAATTTGGAATTGTTACAGCCATTTTAATTATGAGCATTAGCAAACTTCTGAGTGAATTGTTATGCAAATTAGCTATTATCTCAGCTTCTTTTTAGTGCACATCCCAGAACTTTAAAAAATAATAGCTCCTAGACGCTTTGACCTTTTATTTTGAAATTTTCACAAATTATTGACAA